GTAGTGACACTCCGGCTATTTACTTGAATTCCGCCAGAATCGATTTGTCTGGATTTACTTTTCTGTTTCAAAGAAATATTCCAGTTGTATTGAATGTTGCTAATCTCGACAGAATCCCTCCTTCAGGGTCTACCGTATTTATTCCAGCTATAAACATATACGATGGGAGCGGGGCACCTGCCAGAATATTTGCAACAGTTCCAGCGTCAAAAATAAAAAATAAATATTATAATAATTAAATGGTTAAGCTTATAATCTTTCCTGTTTGTCTATTGCTTTAACCTGAAATGACTGCTATATAGACATCTTTCACAATTTCTTGACTCAATCATTTAAAGTATCATCCAACAATGATATGTTTAATGACAACTAATCACGCCGATGTTTATATTCTAAAATTTTCACAAGCAGAAATATAAGGCGAATGTATAATAGAAAAAAAAACGGATATAGGGTATCTTTCCATGACACAAAATCAGTATACACATACAGAACAATATGCACAAAAGCAAAGGAACAGCGCTATAATTGCTGGTCTATATCTCAAATCTCAATGAGGCCTTCAACACGGAGTAAAAAACTATCACCTCACTGCAAGTTATGAAGGCCCTTTGCACTTGCAAAAATAATTCGGATGGACTTTCCATATATATTTTCTTTTGTTTGAAAATGTGAATGAAAATGGAAAGCTAAGGAGAGATTAAGGCTGCAGTAATTTATCAATGTTCAAATCTCATAGGAACAGAACATGCATAGAAGTCATGAAAAACTGAGAAAATATCATCAGATTAAAGATAAATATGTTCGTTGACAGAACAGGGTATGTTCTCCTACTATTCATCAAAATATCACAATCGAATAAATGCTACAATTGGAAGAAAGATAAAAAGTTCAGATACACATATGCTAGGTTTTCAATTAAAACTCCTAGAAAACGAAGCCGTATGATTTGATTTGCGTGTGCGTATATGTACTTAACGAATCACGAAAGTATACTATGCAGAACGTATTAACCATAATTGAAATGGTGAGTGCAGATGTGAAGCAAGGTCGGTTTGCTTCCCTTTCCGGAGCAGCTGTGATCATTGTCGGTAGATGGTTTGGTTTGTATTGCTTGTTTTTTGTCGTCTTTCATTTTTTATAACCTTTTACGAAACTTGAAGAAAAAGATTATGTATCTCTATTTTGTGTATATTTCCTTTGCTTTATTTGCTATACTATTTTTCATATCACGCTACTCGCTTGAGATAAAAAAAAAAAAAAAAAAAACAAGGGGCGCATGTGCGGTTGTAAATGTAAACATCGAAAAAACAGATTATTAAAAGGCACTTTATTCATTATCAATTGTCAGTAGATATTGGTCAATGATTCACCAATTCAGATGACAGATTTAACGAAAACCCCATATCAAGACAACACAAGTGTTCAACAACATAGTCTAAGCAAGTTGTGTATTAATAAAACCAAACCTTTAAAATCTTTATCAACATCACGTTCTACCAATTCAAATCATCCATTTAAATATTAACAAGACATCAACTGCCGAGATTCCATACTTAAGATATGCACATGAATATATGGCAACGTTAAAAGAGAGTAGCAAAAGATACCAACTAGATCATCAGTCTCATAAGTCGAAAACGAGCAGACAGTGCCTTAGAAAAAAAAACCCGACCGAAGATCAAAAACAGTATACGCAACACATGTAACAGAATATAGAAAAGTAAACACAAAGCGAAAAAACAAAAAACACCACAAAAAAATTTAGATGATCTCAGGGGCTCCGGGAAGAAAAAGCAGATCCTGATCAAACCAGTCTTTGAGATCACATCCGTCTGACTTTTACTCAGACAATTAACAAACTGTTTTTGATAAATACTGTGATTATCTGTTTATGTTTATATTATTAAAATTGGTTATAAATCCCTGTCGTTGGAATCACACTTCATAAAAAATATCCATAATTTTTATGCACATTTGTTACACATATAACTCATATCTGTCAAATGTAGAGTCCGAAACAAACACAACAATTAAACCCACACGAGTCAACTTTCAAGCAGTTTTTTTTACAAAATGGAAGGCACTATTCTTCCTCAGGAAATTTTTCATGCTCAGAACACCTTATTTATCAATCGAATCCTGCTACGTATTTGATCTCTGTTCAGTGAATCTCAATTTTGAATTCTAATTACTTTCATAAAATTGAGGTTTTGGTTTGATTGACATTCTGATCGTATTGTCGAAACTTTCGTTTAACATTTTGGGCTCTATATCTTCAGTATGTGATACTCAGAACATTCTATGGCACAGTATGGTTATGTATGCATTCACGGAAACACATTTGTGTAGTACGTTATCATTGCAATTTAACGTTTAATAGTTGACACAATGTCTAAAATTGAGAATGGAATATGGGAATGTGTCAAAGAGACAACTACCCGACCATAGAGCAGACAATATCTTAAAATTGCAACTACAATAACATAGCTACTTATTGTAATAAATGTTATATTGACACTTAAATAAAGAATTTTAAATATGAAATTAGACCAAAAAAAAAAACCCAACAAAATAAGATTTATTCATTGTTTTAAGACGTATGCGATATTATACTGCAAAACTGTTTTCATTATCAAATATATATTTGTCATTGGTAACAAATTGAATCCTTACCACATCTACCCTTTTCTACTTATACAAGTATTTTAATAAGAAAGGAAAGGAATTTGTCTACGGAAGCAACCTTACCAGAATAAACACATGTATCAGAAATCGTTTAAATATAGGGCCTTTTTCTTGTAGAGCCATACTAGAATAAAGTCATTTCCTGAATCCATTAGCTAATGTTTTAAATTATCAAGATACTTGTAAAGAAAAGGGTCGGTACATATGACTCTAAAGGTATGTTAGAGGAATAATTAGTTGTTTTTTTTTTGCGCCATTTTGCGCATTTTTGCGCCTGTCTATCCCAAGTCAGGAGCCTCTGGCCTTTGTTAGTCTTGTATCATTTATAATTTTAGTTTCCTGTGTATAATTTAGAGTTTAGTATGACGTCCATTCTCACTGAACTAGTATACTTATTTGTTTAGGGGCCAGCTGAAGGACGCCTCCGGCTGCGGGAGTTTCTCGCTGCATTGAAGACCCATTGGTGGCCTTCGGCTGTTGTCTGCTCTATGGTCGGGTTGTTGTCTCTTTGACACATTCCCCATTTCCATTCTCAATTTTATTAAGGTCAGATTTACTTTCAAGAAATACCGAATAATCATCACTAAAGGTAAATTCGTTTCCGATGTAACCTACTTCTTAGATATTGATGACCAAATTGGTCGTATTCTTTGCATCAACTAGCAATTAACCAATTACATAACACCAGTGAATAGACTTTTTTTATATTTCGGAGTCAAAATTCGGTAATATAAAAATAGTCTTTTAATAGAAAACATGCCCACTGTTCCGGAGCCATCCTCTATCATGTCAATCTAATGTCAAGAATACAATCAACTTAGTTCATCAAAATATGAGAAGGGGTCCTTAATAATGGTACTTAATCTTCTTATATACATTAAGGGTCATGTAGAACTCATCGACAGTTAAACATCTTGTTTCGAATGCTTTGCCCCCTGTACATAAAAGAACCCTTACAACAAATCTTTGAAGGGTCAGTAAAATTTTTGGTTTTAGTTAATATGCTTTTGAAACTGGTAGTCCAAATTATCACGCTCATTGTAATTTGTCAATTCGCTAATACTACAACTGTTCTTTCCTAGATTTAGATAGTTCAGTTTTACACGGGAAACTCCACACTATGATTTACGACAAAAGGGATGATTTTTCGTTCCCTACTGCTAATATTCTTTTTTGGATGGTGATACTTCTTTGGCACCATCATACGGTGTTTTTTTCACAAATCGTTCGTTATGCCCGTGTCTGTTGTGGCGTTTTAGATTTCAATTAACGTAATCCGTGTATTACTGTTGAATGATTAAGTCAGGGATTTTGGTTACAACAAATTATTTAAAACCTTTACTAAATTCTTCCAAAGATGTTAAGATTTGGTTTTGAAGTTTGGATGCAACTTATTTCAAATGGGATAGCCCATCCTAATTTTTACGGAGATGGTGTTTACCGCACCCGGAAATTTAGAAACGATCCTGGTAAACTTATAGATCTTTTAGTATTAATATTGATTTTTTATTATTAAATTAGAGCACACTAAATATTATTGTTATATACAGATGCACTGTCATGGATCTACAATCTGTCGATACCTGTATCTTGGCATTGCACAAGGTCATGTCTTTATCTGACTGTTGATGGCTTCTTTAACTAAATCCATTGGATGTTGGATGTGTACTGATTGGTAATTTAGTCTTAGATGCATTTTTGTAATTAGTTGTAATGGGCTTTGAACTTGCTGTCAGTAACTGCAAGTACTCTCAGATCTGTACTTAGTTTCTATTTTTAGTTAAGCCTTTTTTAACTGATTTTATAGTACGTTGTTATGTTGTACTGTTACAACACTGTCCTAGGTTATGGGAGGGTTGAAATCCCTCTAACATGTGTAACCCCGGCACATTTTGTATGTTTGTGTCTGTCCCAATTCAGGAGCCTGTAATTCAGTTGTAGTCGTTTGTTGCTATGTTACATATTTGCTTTCGTTCATTTGTTTTGTACATTAAATATACCGTTAGTTTTCTCGTTTGAATTGTTTTACATTTATCATTTCGGGGCTTTTTATGGCTGACTATGCGGTATGGGCTTTGTTACTTGTTGAAGGCCGTGAGGTGATCTTTAGTTCTTAAAGTCTGTGTCATTTGGTTTCTTGAAAAGAGTTGTCTCATTTGCACTCATACTATATCTTCATTTATATATAAATATATGTTTCCTTAATATAGGACTATACAATGAGTCATGTATTATTACGGTAAATTTTATTTGTTTCAATCAACGTTATGTATGTTTTCTGTGTACCACAGCCGGATACCATGAAACCTGCTCTATTTTCCATCTGAAAAAATAATTATGAATGATAAAAAATGTAATATGTCTTCTGTTCAAAAAACATAATCTGTCTAAGTGAAAGTTTGATAAAATGTGACAAAAATGAACGTGATGTCCTTAATATTTCCGTTAACATTACCTTACAACAAAATTATTTTCATTAACCTGTGTACATTATTCTATTTGGCGGCATTTTGTTCAAGGTTATGGCTGTCTTTCTGAAATTGTTAAACATTTCAGACCCTTATCTTATTGATTTTGTACTAATATTGTGTCATAGATTAAATTTATTCGTTCAGTGTATATTCACTTGTTTCTGTTAATATGTCATTTGATTGAATTAAGCCATTTCAATTGATATTTTATAGTGTGTCTTTCTATGTTGTGATGCTACACTATTGGTTCAGGTGAGGGTGAAGGTCGGTACCAATTCAAACATTTAAATCAGCTGCATTTGTTTGCACAAATCCTAAGCCAGGAACCTGATGTTCAGTGGTTGTCTTTTGATGATGTGATTCATAAGTGTTTCTCGTTTCTCGTATTTTTAAATATAAGACCGTTGGTTTTCTCGTTTGAATGGTTTTACACTAGTGATTTTTTGGGCCCTTTATAGCTTGGTGTTCGGTGTGAGCCAAGGCTCCATGTTGAAGACCGTACTTTGACCTATAATGGTTAACTTTATAAAATTATGACTTGGATGGAGAATTGTCTCATTACCACTCATACCACATCTTCTTATATCTATGTACTTATTTGTCTTAAATTGAGACTAACTGCATATATGATTGTAAATGTGTGTCACAGTTAATCAGAAAATATTGACCATATATCAATATCTTCAATTCTTTCGTCCCTCTTATCTTAACGTTCATTTGTAACCAGAATGATTATGTAAAAATGTACACAGATTCCCAATATTTTGACTAAAGACGTTGATGTTAACGTTCGCATTGAAACCGGACATGTTCTGCAAATCTGAGAGCATTGAGCTACATTAAATCTACCTCTCAGTATGCGGGATCTACCGAAAAGAGACAAATGTGAACATATCTACTTTTAATGACAACCTCAGACGGACAGGGTATGTCCAACTGAACATAAAAAAACTCCTCATAAATACCAGGATTGAAATTTTATATAAGCGCCAGACGCGCGTTTCGTCTACAAAAGACTTATCGGTGACGCTCGAATAAAAAAATGTTAAAAAGGCCAAATAAAGAACGAAGTTGAAGACTTTGGAGGACCAAAAATCCTAACGGTTTTGCAAAATACAGCTAAGGTAATCTATTCTTGAGGTAAAAAGGATTTAGTATTTATATTGCATATCCTTGTCAACCATTATTTTTAATTTGTTTAAATCAATCTGATGAAAAAGTTTCCAACTTTCATTGAACATCTACATTTTGAATACTAGTATACTTACATGGAGCGACGCACTGATTACTACATCCTGTTCGGCAACATTTCTTAGGGGGAGTACAGTCACTGTCTGAAAAGCATTGGGCCTGGAAACCATGTGGGCAAAACGGATGTGGATTTGCATTTGGTGGACAGCCTCCAACACCAGACTTACACCGGCATACTTTACATCCTTGACTATCAGTATCGTATTTCACTCCATTTTTACAAGGAGGACAGTAAGTAGGTTTACATGTCTTTGATTTACATTTACATATCTTGCAACCGTGACTATCTGTTACGTATTCGACGCCATATGGACAGTATATAGGACAAGTCGATGCTGGGCAGACATAGGTTTTACATTTACATATTTTGCAACCATGACTATCTGTTACTATTTCGACACCATGTGGACAGTCGCTAGGACACGATGATAATGGGCATTCATATGCTTTACATTTACAAACTTTGCATCCGTGGCTATCTGTCTCATAGGTAACACCATATTGGCATTTAGGGCAATAGGTTTTCTTGCATTCATAGGATTTGCATTTACATGTCTTGCAACCGTGACTATCTGTTACATACTCGACGCCATGTGGACAGTATATAGGACAAGTCGATGCTGGGCAGACATAGGTTTTACATTTGCATATCTTGCAACCGTGACTATCTGTTACATACTCGACGCCATGTGGACAGTATATAGGACAAGTCGATGCTGGGCAGACATAGGTTTTACATTTACATATTTTGCAACCATGACTATCTGTTACTATTTCGACACCATGTGGACAGTCGCTAGGACACGATGATAATGGGCATTCATATGCTTTGCATTTACAAACTTTGCATCCGTTGCTATCTGTCTCATAGGTAACACCGTATTGGCACTTAGGGCAATAAGTTTTCTTGCATTCGTATGATTTGCATTTACATATCTTGCAACCGTGACTATCTGTTACATACTCGACGCCATGTGGACAGTATATAGGACAAGATGGTGATGTGCATGTATGTGATTTACATTTACATATCTTACATCCGTGACTATCTGTTACGTATTCGACGCCATATGGACAGTGTTTTGGACAAGATGGTGTTGGGCAGTCATAGGTTTTACATTTACAAACTTTGCATCCGTTGCTATCTGTCTCATATGTAACACCGTATTGGCATTTCGGGCAATACGTTGGCTTGCATGTCCAAGGTTTGCATTTACAAATCTTGCATCCATTGCTGTCCGTCTGATAATCATAACCATTGTTGCACGTTTTCGGGCATGCGTATGGCAGGCATGGCGAGGGTTTACATTTACAAATTTTACATCCGTTGCTATCTGTCTCGTAAACTTGGCCATATCTACATTTACAGTAAGTTGGCTTGCAATGTGTGTCTGGAACGATATATGAGTTAAGTGTAAGATGCTTAGTCTTAAGGTGGTACCTAACACTACAGGGATATAACTCTGTAAAAATCAGCTAAACGTTTTAATCACGTTGTATTGTTAAAGAAATGTTAAGCTTCTCAATGATCAAAACTAGTGTTTGTCAAACTGCTATATAACCAATGATTTTTTTCTGATAAAGAGGTTGGTTCAAATTTTAAAAATTTTTATATTTTTGTCAAAGGGTCAAAGTTCACATTTTGTCTATGTTGTGTCATCTGTACTATTATTTGTCTGTTTGTCTTCTTATTTTTGGCCATGGCGTTGTCAGTTTGTTTTCGATATATGAGTTTGACTGTCCCTCTGGAATCTTTCGTCCCTCTTTGTCAAAATTTTATGAAAATTAAAAGAGCCAAATTAAAAATAGTCAAGGTGTTGGGTACGACCTTAATTAGGGAGGAAGAAAGTTAAAGATGGGATTAAAAGATTACTGTAGAGTATGGAAATGTAAACAAAAAGAGAAAACAATTATCATTACTAGGAGTGTTATTTCAAATGGTCTTCATACATGAGCAATTAGTCTCCTTCTACTGACCTTTAAAAGCTATTTGAGATATGTACATAACAATACAATTGCGTATTATGAATTAAAGTTGTTCCTTTATATATAACACAAAATTATCACTCTGATTCTACATTTAATAATAATTTCTTCACACATTTATAATAGAGAAATATGTTTCCTGTTAGAGCCAAGGTAGAAAAAGATACATTTTTTGTTGTGGTTACTGTTACATATTGTCTTAGTTGTATCCCCTATTCCAATCCCATTTCTTGTTTCTATCTTTAAATTAAGACAACGATCGTTTACCATTTATTAAATCTCGTCAGTCGATAAAGCAGAGACAAATCAAGGTGGCAAATATCATGGAAACAAACTCGTCGGTGGTAGTTTTTAGTTATATCGTTTTGTTGCTTACATAAATGTAATTGATGAAATTTTGTGTTGATTCCTAATTTTTACATTTAGTAATTTTATAGTAATGTCATAGATTCAAAGATTTGCATATATTTTCCTGTACTGTTGAAAAAAAAGTAAAATCACAAAAAATACTGAACTCCGAGGAAAATTCAAAACGGAAAGTCCCTAATCAAATGGCAAAAGTAAATGATAAAGCACATCAAACGAATGGAAAACAACTGTCATATTCCTGACTTGGTACAGGCATTTTCAAATCTTGAAAATGGTGGATTGAACCTGGTTTTATAGCGCTAAACCTCTCACTTGTATGATAGTCGCATCAAGATATTATGTTAACCCTCAGGTGTACTATATCATTTTTTAGAGCTTTGGTTGCTGCTTCATTGCCATAAACTCACTATTTCTTTGTTTGTATTGTAAGTGTCTAAAACAAATTGTTCAATTTTTAGCTTCGATTGCATAAGGATCATGTACAGTCCGATAAAACATAGTGATTGCATTCAGCGTATGTTAAACAAAACACATGATTATCTGATAAATATCACGTGATAAAACGTGTTGTGAACAACAAAAAAAAATAAGATAACTTATATACCAAACTTCAAAGCAAATTCAAAATATAAAATCTTTTAACAAATGGTAAATTCAAAAGCTAAATCACATCAAACGAACGGAAATCAACTGTCGTATTACTGACTTGGTTAAGTATTTCGTTTTGTAGAAAATGAGACAAACTGACAAATTACATTTTGCTAAAGATATCCTAAAAGTCATTTCCCACAAGTATCATTTGTACATGTTATATATTTATTTATTCAAGACTAGGGAGTAATTCAATATACCATTAAAATGTAAATGTAAAATGAGCAGTACTTACGAGGATTGTGTTTTTTGCATTGTTTGTTGCATTCGTGTCTGTTTGGGAAGTTATTACCATTACCACCACACCCAGAGTACCAAAACAGAATACACCTTCCTTTCTGTTTATCATATCCCCATCGTCGAGCATGCCAATGACAGGTTCCTTTCACAATAGGTGCGTCACATGTAAAGCCTAGAGTGAAAAATTTTAAATATGATTCCGTTTTTCTCATATCCTCAACGTGTAGCATGCCGATGACAGCTACCTTTCACAATTGGTGCGTCACATATATATCGTACAATGAAAATTTTTAATATAATTCCGTGTTTCTATAATGTTATTGTGGAAGTAATCATGGTATCCCGTTTTGTGATACACTACATGTGTAACAGAAAAGGAGGATACAATAGTAACTCATTATCCAGACTAACCTTTAATTTTCTAAATTTTCAAAATTTATTTTGTTCAGATATCAATAATATAATTGAGTTTGGTATACTTTACATTAAAATACCAGATTTTAAATGGTTAGTATGAGGGGACAAACTATTCTATCGCATGGCTCAGCGGGAGACATTTTGTGAATGTCACCCTCTCGTGCATTCCAATCAGAAACCGACAATGAATCAAATTTCCATCAATTATTCTAAAGACAATTCTCAAATTCTACGTTTCGGCTTCAGACCTTTTTTTATAGACTGTCAACATAAAATAAAATACATCTTGTTTTCACTTTTATTGCTTTTCTACTAACTGTAACGTTAATATGTACATGACGGCATTACTTTCCGTTAACAACGGAAGAGACAATGTTGACAGAACAGTCAGTACAATTAATTTAAAAAAAAAACAAAAAACATAGCCTCGGTTGACAATGTTTTCTCGGAGTAAGAATCTGCTCTATCACCCACTCGAATATAAGTTATTTATATAATACATAATAATTTGGTGAATCCTTTGAAAACACAATTATACTGATCATTTGGTTAAATTCAGTTACATTTATGATGTTTTGTCACTATACATTATTTTTCTACATCATGTTCATAATGTCATAAAAACAAAAATCTGTAAACTACTTGTAATTGATTTTTGAATAAATCAGGTCTAAGTTTTAGTTATAAAATATACAGAAACTCATTGTTCCTCAAGACATCTTTAAGACTTAAATTTCTTGCTTTATTCTATATATATACGTAATGACAAGATTTTTTTATCGTGAAATAAACGGAATTCCTTTAGGTACTTACTGTGCAACTTACATAAGTTTCTTTCGACTCTGTTTGTAGTGTTGGTTACTTTCATGTACACGGGTGGTGTAAGTGTAGTAATGTTCCTATTGGATGTTATAATTTACCTTCGTAGTGTCGGTTTGCATCATGCTATTTAATAATCTGTTTGATGTTTTTATTGAATTGAAACAATTCATGTATAGCGTCGGTTTTTATGTAATGCTATTTTATTGACCAAAGTTATGGCCCGTTTAGACGTAATAATTTTTCATATGCATAATGTTCCGGTTTATTTCCTGTTTAGTGATGGTATGTACAATGACCGGTTTCCTTTCTGGTGTAGCATCGCTTTATAGATTGTTTCAAGTTAATATACTTATTTCGTATTTGATAATATAATACTCTATATTAAAGAAGATGTGAATTCATTTTTCCAATGAAACAACAGTCTACAAGAGAGCAAATGACGTTTATTTATTCACCTGTGTCGGTTTAAAGTTGATTTTATTATTTACCTGTGTAGCATCGGTGTTAAGTTGATGTTATTATTTACTTGTGTAGTGTCGGTGTAAAGTTGATTTTATCATTAGCCCGTGTAGCGTTGGTGTAAAATTGATGCTATTGTTTGAATGTGAAGCGTCGTTGTTATAGTTGATGTTACTATTTACCTGAGCACGGTGGTAATTTGATATTATTATTTACCTGTGTAGCGTCTTTGTTAAAATTGATGTTATTATTCACCTTTGTATTATTGTTGTAAAGTTTATTTTTTTATTTACCTGTGTAGCGTCGGTGTAAAGTTTATGTTGTTATTTACTTGTGTAGTGTGGGTTTAAAGTTGATGTTATCATTAACTGTTAATCGTCGGTGGAATGTTGATGTTATCCTTTATTCGTGTAACGTCCATGTAAAGTTGATGTTATTATTTACTTGTGTAACTTTTGTGTAGAGTTGATGTTATTATTTACCTGTTGAAAGTGAGTGTAAAATTGATGTTATTTTTTTCCTGTGTAGCATCGGTGTTTAAGTTAATGTTATCATTTACCTGTGTAACATCGCTTGGTACATTCATGATGTGAAGCAAAATTGTTTGCATTTCCTTTGCATCCACCATAAGAAAATCTGTGACATCTTCTTCTGTGAGTATCAAAAAAGTATCTGGTTATGTGCCCACGACATGGACCTCTACTCTTGGGCAGGCTACAAATATCTGAAGAGAACACAAATTTCTTGTGAAAATGTGTGATTTGGCCGGACGATGCCCAAAACCGACTAATAGTATGGTGATTTCAAGCAGAGGGGCTGATGGGAGGTCAATCGGGCGAGGGGAAAATGGGTACCTTATTTCTGTAATCAAATCCTACTAAAAATTTCAACCAAGATCCCTGACACTTCATAGAAAATTTTTTGCACAGTTTTCTAGACTTGGAAACTTAGTAATTTTTCGATAGAATTGACGAAAGAGGATTTTCAACATGTCCTACAGTTTCAACCAAGATTCCAAAATAATATATATCGCAACTCGGTCATTTAATACTTTAACCCATTTTTTATTTTGTGTTGTCTTAAGAATTGTGATTTTTTAATCATAACAGCTCTTTAATAACAACAGCTAAGGTCGTGTTTAACAACGTCTTGCTCCTAATTTGTTTCCATATTTCTACGTCTTTGGCTTTCACGTGTTCAGGTTTGATTATTCTTCGTGAAGATAAATCCAGAAAGGCACACAACATTTATAAAGTGTTTTTTTATTCATTTTATCATTTATACTTGTATGGATTTTCAAATATTTTGGCCTCGAGCAACACTAAAAAAGACATTTATTGTCGAAATGCGCTTCTGGTGCAGAAAATTGGTACCGTTAATGTTATTACTACCAGTGGAACAATACCTCAGGTGGTTGACTGCTAGTTTCATAGGGTATCACCAGCCTATTAGCCAGTTCTTTGGTACTGGAATGAACATACGGGTGTTGTGTTGTTGAAACTTGTCATTACAAACTTTTGGAAATTATTTCAAATTATGGAATATATCTCCCTTATGCAAAACACTGATTCCTTGCCTGGCTTAATCTATATTTTAGTTTTTGTGTTGGTTAATAAGTTATTTCATTACTAAATGAACCCGTGATTGAGACAAACAGTGATGTGACATAACATTTACATTGTAAACATATTCCTCCATTACTACATGTATATTGAAGAAATTAAGACAACAGCAAATGTTCAGGCTGCAGTATAAATAGTTGATATTGAAATCCTCAACATCTTCCAATAAAAGATTGTTTTGTAACGGGATGTTTACGAGATGCTAACGTACGTTATACATATATTTTTACCTGTTGTTGGTGGTAACACCGGTGGATGCGGTGGTGGCGGCGCTGGACCTCCGCCACCAACACAGTGTTTACCGCATGCTGTAGGTGAAGCAAATGGACAACAGTTTTGACCTATAATATAGAAAAGTAAAATCTTGATTTTATTAATGAAATACATATCATTTTAGGGCTGTATTAGACTTGTTTGTATGCAGTACTTTTGTATTGTTCGGTTTTCTCTTTTTCTTTATTTCTATTTGTATTGTTCGGTTTTCTCTTTTTCTTTATTTCTATTTGTATTGTTCGGTTTTCTCTTTTTCTTTAATTTCTATTTGTATTGTTCGGTTTTCTCTTTTTCTTTATTTCTATTTGTATTGTTCGGTTTTCTCTTTTTCTTTATTTCTATTTGTATTGTTCGGTTTTCTCTTTTTCTTTATTTCTATTTGTATTGTTCGGTTTTCTCTTTTTCTTTATTTCTATTTGTATTGTTCGGTTTTCTCTTTTTCTTTATTTCTATTTGTATGACTGACAATGGAATTATATAGTCCATAAGTCATCCCATAAGCGTATTGAATGTACCACCAAGAACTAATTTCAAAAACATAAAAAGTTACCATATAATTATGTTATTAAGTTTTTGAATATTTTTTTTTAGGCCTCATACTGATAACTGCATAAACAAGTACGCTGTACATGTATGTGTCTAAAGCTTTATTAATTTATCCATTAATTTTGTTAGATATTCACCAAGGTCTAGTAATACATGACCGAGGAACTACAAATTTGCTCATGATCAAGATTGGCTAATATAAGATTGCGATGCTCTTTAGCTGCGTCAGGTTAAGAATTTTTTCTTTGATCATTGTTATTTTATCAAACATGTTGAAGCCCAAAGAAAAGTTGAAATAAATAGAGTCAATTTGGTCCTTTGAATACCTTTAAGAAAGACCATCAGCTTTGAATTATTGAAAGCAATGGCTAGCAGGGGACATGTCGGTGGTCTTAAAGTTTGTTGTTGAATAAATTTTTGATTTTAGTGTTTATTTTTTATATTGTCATTTTGCAATTATTGTGTTAGTTTTTTAAGCTGTTGATATTAGATTTTAATGTTCATTTTCCGTTAGAGTATAGAAACCATGAACATTATCATGATTATAGAAATGAAATAAGGAGATGTGGTATAATAGCCAATTAGACAACTATCCACCAAAGTTCATATGAAGTGGATGTAGGCAATTTTAGGCAACCATACAGCCTTCACATATTTACATAATACCATACCTTTTGGACAAGTATTCAAGTGGCCACATTTATTCACAAACAACTTTGGACATTTGAATGGATATATTTGAGGACATTGTTGGACTACTGAAGTACCCTGAAAATAAATAAAACAGAGCTATGTGCATTCCATTAGTTTTAAATACTTGCTGTTTGACATTTGGCTTAGCCTAATCGAAAAAAAATAATCTTATTTTTAAAGGCTCATCGCATTGACTTTTATTAGCAATCAGGTTGTACGATAATTTAGATCGACACAATTTATTCATGTATTATACACATTAGACAACACCATTTTGGACAGTCCTGGGCACATCTATGGACCACAAACAGACCTGAATTACTGTCAGACTTGGACACTTAATGGAGACATGTATGGAATTAAATACACACTGGAGCCATTGAGAGATTTCAGTTTATTTTGAGTCAAGGATACACAGTTTGGATGATTTCTCGATCTATTTTTATTGGCCTTATTCTGCATAGATCACTTATACGGAACTATTTGTGTAATTAAAGTTATTGTTTTAAGTTTTGAGTAGCTTTCTTATGTTATTCAATTTTAAAAAGGGAGTGTTTTAAGCTGTTGTCCACGTTAAACAGAGATAGGACCAATTTTGCATGTACATTTTCACTCAAAGGAACAATATCTAAAAGTTGTCAAATAATCTAGGAAATTGATTGTTAAAGAATCTATATTATATATACTTAGAAATATTCTTTTCACAATTTAACATATTTGAATCAATTTAAAATGGTATTCACCACTTTTCGAGGAAATTTCTTACCCAACAGAAACTTTTAAATGATTTTGTAATGTTGTGCATGGAATGAGGTCGCTAACCAATATTTAACTTTAAATGTAACAGAATGTTTGTTTTGGCTAACGATATTCTTCTTATACCGTTTTTTGTATATATACTCAAAACTTGTTATAATTCTCTCAAAATTGCGGCTTTGGACTACATGTATCTTTAGGGACTAACAATTTCATGTTCTGTTTAGAATTAAGTAATTATATTGATATAACCGGGAGAAAACACACAAACGGCTGTTATACTGTGAATTTTAGGAAACATTGTAAGACTTTTCAAAATAGCCCTGCTGTCAAATAAATCTGAAGGACGTTTGCATAACCCCTTTGCTAAGGTTACATGAGTGAAGTTATAGTTTTATTTTATATCAGGTATAAAAACCAATTTATAAATACTACTAATTCAGATCCGTTGAATTTATCCACTTTGATAGACCGTGGACAATTTAGAACTGTGTATATTGTTCAGATTATATCTGTATTGTTCAAGTACTTATTGCCTTCTAGATGTCTTTTATTATTATTTGTGTCGTTAGGTTGAAGTGTCGTTAACTTTAACTCTATGTTTAACTACAAATGCCGTTTTGATCACGTTCACAAAATCTATAGAAATTAATAAAATAATAAATTATATGGGGAATTAAGGGAATTACTATGTGTATCCTTAACCGATTTCTGGTTTGAAATATAAAATAATGTGTAGTTTGCCAAAAAAAAAAAACAATAAATAAGCAAAAATGATTTATTACAGTTGTTAAAGAAGGCACCAAACTGTTTGGCTTGTTTACTTCCTTATGGGTTTGCTTTAATTTTGTATGCGTGTGTTCTTTTCTCTGCCTATCAGCTTTGATTTGAGGATTTATTTGATTTTGTTCAATTGACGTCACCTTACCCCTCAGACAAAAGACTCAAACAGAATAACGATATAACTAAACATAAAGCAACAACACAGACAAAACTACCACAAAACAAATAGAGGACGAAGACTACGGCTAACTACACTTTTAAGGTGGTAAATGACACTACAGGGAGATAACTCTGTATAAATCAGCTGAACGTTTTAATCACGTTCTATTGTTAAGGAAATATTAAGCTTCTCAATGATCAAAATTAGTGTTTGTCAAACTGCTATATCTCCAATGAAATTTTTCCGATAAAGTGTGTGGTTCAAGTTTTTTGAAATTTTTATATTTTTGTCAAAGGGTCAAAGTTAATATTTTGTCAAAATTTTATGAAAATTAAACGTTCCAAATTAATTTTAGTCAAGGTGTTTGGTACCACCTCAACACAAATATTTCGTCTAGTCGCTTATTGGTTGTATGGTGTGTACACTTTTAAATGATCAAATATGACAAATCTTTCTATTAGCATACGGATTAGTGGTTAAAAAGACTAACTTGTTATACAGTCTTATATCAATTATATTATTCAAGGCTATGATATCTTCTGATACCAACTATAAGTGAGATTATTTCATGAACATTTTACCTATTACAGCCATTAAATTGGTTGAAAAGGCTACTTGTCTTATAGGTATTATAATTGGGTCAATTGTTATTTTAACAGCATGTTCGAACAAACTCTTACTATGATCTATAAAATGACATATGTAATATACACTATGACAAAATTTGGAATACTTAGCTGAACCATGTCAATTGCTTAACTAAAACATGTCAATTTTCGATTGTATCCTCTACCTGCGTTAATTTTAAGTAACCATAGTTTTCATGTTAAATGTTTGACGTAAAATATTGAATCTTATATATATCTTATTAACTTTGTGTATGCTTATTTGAAGAGAACTAAGGGATCGGTCATTATTTATCTCCAGGGGGGCCGGCAAAATGTAAATTTTAAATGATAAAATGATAAAATATGATTGACCCCCCCCCCCCCCCTTTTCAAAATGTGTTAAAAAATTTACCCCCCCCCCCCTCTTTCAACTACATAAAAACTTTTGACCCCCCTCTCTTTTCTGATTATAATTGAAAGGTTTCAAATGATTCAATTATCATATGTTGCTAATATTCCTATTTGTATCACGTGTTGCATATATTATAATTGTTTGTCTATATTTTTAATAGAATTAAGAATGGGTCATGTATATATATTTTAGCATTTTTAGAATAATGGGATTAAATACAAAACACAGAAATGATTTTAAGATAAAGGTTTAAATATAGAGTGATCCGTGCCAATAAAGGTGTGGTCAGTTTAGCCGGTTCATTCTCATTTATCCAACTTTTTAAAATTATAGGTAGTACAGGTAAAAAAAAAAGTTGGATAGATGAGATCAAAGGTAATCAAGAACAAAGGGTTTTTCAATTAGAGTTTGGGTTGAATGACAGGTGAAAAATAAGACTAAAAATTATACCCGGATTAAATTTTCTGTAGTATTATTTAGCATAACATGTTAAAATGTGCAACTGACATTTAGTTCATGTAATGTAAATCATTTGAAAGTAATTTTAAGTTTTTTAACCGTTAATTAAAATGTGAATTGGATAGAAAATATCAGTTGCACTTTTATTTATGAAGAGATTTGTCAATAAGATGGGGTTTTTTGTGTAATAGATCCTCTTCGTTCATTTTTTTCTGTTCTTCTGACCAAATGATCCAAATGGAACAAAATATAAGTTAAATACGTTTTACCACACAAAGATTGAACAGAACAAAATTCACACAACATATATACATATATATATAAACAAAAGCAAAAGCAATTCAAGCACAATGGTTATAAAATACTGGCACAGAAATATCAATAGCACACCGTGACTAAATGAATGTTCAGTAGATTCACACAACATACAATGGCACTAAATAAATGTTCAGTTGATACACACATCATAGTTTTTTAAATAGTAATGCAAGCACAATGGTTAAAAAACGTAGCACAGAAATATCCATAGCACACACTAAAGGAATGTTCAGTAGATCTTCATCCTAGTTTAAGTAGGTGGGATACTGCATCAGTGTAGTGATATACGTTGATCTGTCCTTGCTGTAGTCTACCCTTAAGTTGGGTCAGTCTGTTGCGGTACTTTAACTTGCGAGTCTTGCGTTTTCCCCCTGCGGCGTACTGGATGAGTCGTATTTCTGTGGCAGCCTGTGTATTCTGAAGCTTCTGTATGATGAGGAACAGGTTAGGATGAGCCTTGTTTAACTGGTTGTTGAGTTTGTGGTGCCAGCCTTCCAAATGGTTTGTTGTCCTTGGTCCTACGGTAGTGAAGTGGTTCCATCGTTCTGGTTCTCTGTCAACCCACTGTTCTGTGACGTAGTCATTAAAGCTGGTGACTTGTGCATCTTCGGTTTGGTAGTTATTCAGTGCGTAGAACCATACTTCTTCAATTTGGTGAGGTGGTACTAAAGGAAGTGCTGATGCTCGTCGTACGTGTTGATGAAGTAATGGATCGTTCTTATATTCTTCGGTCAAACCAAGAGTCTGTACCTTTTTCCAGATGCGCTGGCAGAAGTGGAATAAACAGCCTTTGATAGTGGCAGTAGGAAAGGCTGTCTCTGCTGCATTACGTGCTGCTGATTCAAAGTCCATGAAGATTCTGTTTGGGTTGATTGGTGTGTTGTTGTCTGCTCCACTTGCTTTAAGAATTGCAAACAAACGTTGGTAGGTAGTCTGGCATTTATCAGGCAGGAAAGCGAATACTAATGGGTACATCTCTTCTTCAATGAGTGCATGTATTGTGTAAAGCTGCTTAAAAAGTAATGGACTAGCGTAAAAAGTTCCATCGGCGAATATAGTATTGGCTTGGCTGAGGTGTCGAAGGTTGTCTGAAGTACCAAAAACCAGTATTTTGTTGATGTCACCATCCTCTGAAAGTACAAAGTTTTGTCCTGAAAATATAAAAAAGAAAATAATTATTACAAATAAACATAGCAACAAAATCATGAATATCAATATCTATAAATAATCATTATCAATATTTATCTATTTATTTTCATATTTTATTTTGTACTTTTGTTACATTTTATCGTAAAAAATTAAATTCTATTTTATTCAATATGAACTTTAAAAAGAAAAATGAAACATATAATTGTTTTAAAAAAAGTAAAATAACAAAAATACCAAACTCCAAGGAAAATTCTAAATGGAAAGTCCTTAATCAAATGGCAAAACATAGGGGGGGGGGGGGGGGGGGGGGGGGGGGGGGCTCAAAAACATCCAAACGAATGGAAAGCAACTGTCATTTGGCCTTGGTTTTAAAAGCCTTAAAGAGCTTATGTTTGTAATTATATTGCTTATACCGACTTTAAATAAATCTTTATGTCTTATATGTTATGTCTGGATGTAGAGTTGTCTCATTGGCAATCATACAATACCTTCTTTTTTTTATATTATTATTTGATCATTACCTGTTGAAGTTTCTCTCCATTCTGCTTGTAAGTCGATGTTTTGTCTGGTGGCGGGCTGCCTAGGTAGTTCAGTATTGCGTTGACGATACAGTGAGGATTTACAGGCAGTAAAGGTTGGTATCTTTTCTACAATCTGTCTGGTGTCTTCGTCCCATTCCCTGCACCGGAACTGTATTATTTCACTGTCATAGAGTGTTGGTAGTGGGTCTAGGCAGGAGCGTGCTTTCTCTGATAAGTGTGACAGGAATAGCTTGGCTTTGATATCTGCATGTGATGGTGGGTGGTTGTGGTCTCTTGGAAATCTGGTAACTAGATTATCTGTGGTGTTTACGGTCCCAGGGCAGTCCATTTCTGTACATTTCCAGTATACAAGTTCTGCATCTCTGCCCTGTTTTCTGGTCTTAACACAATATCTGTAGCCTGCAACTGCTAGGTAGTGACCTCTGGCATGAGGAATTAGTTGTACTCTTACTTGAGCGTTTGCCATTTGTGCAATAATGAAATTTTGGATTGAATGGCTATATATACTACAACATGAGCTTAACTATGAAATGTAGTTTTATAAGAATAGAGTTCATTCATTCATTCAAATGTTTTGGAAAGATTGCTGAGTACTGTTACATAGTTTTAATTTTTAACACTTGGAGATATGGGCTTGGGTTGTGAAAAATGTTTAGATTTTTGTATTGATTAGCAAAATGCTGAACACGAACAATGTTTAATTTGGTAATCACCTTGAATCAGCACCACAATTAAAAGTTAACAGGTGTCACATTTATTGTTATGTTATAACTTGCACCTACAATTTAAACAAGTAATAAAGACAGTCATATTTACTTTAAAATGTAACAAGTTTACTATCGCCTATTTTATATATATTTTTTAAATAATATAAAAACATACAGGAACAAATTTACTGTCAAATTTTAGAAAGACACATTATTATTACTAAACAAACAACCCAATAATTAACAAAAATAAAAAGTTGGCTAAATGAGAATACCTTATTTTAAAAAGTTGGATAAATGGGAAGACACCGTTTAGCCCTGACAGACGGATATGCACAACATACCGTCATTCAATTTGCCAAACAAAATTTATACAAACAACACCAACATAACGTTAAACGAGAACCATGAAAATGAGGTAAGGGTAAGTATATTTGTTCGCAGGGGCGTTAGTGGTTGATGTTGTCTGGATTATGTTTACAGAATAAAAGTAATAGGCCACAATATAAAGAAGAGAGAAAAATGAATCCAAAAATATAAAGAGGAGAAAAATGAGTGCTTAAATATAAATTGTTGTAAATAATTGTGAATAATGAGAGAAAATAAAAAATATAGAAATGAGACCCTATTCAAATCAATTGATATACTGCCAAAAGTTTTAAGAATTCCTGTTATCCTTTACAAATATTATATAATGGAAAAGAACGCATAACGGGACTTGAAACATTTGTCATAAAAATGGAGGTTTAGCTACCTATCAAACCAGGTTAAACAAACTATGTTTTCTTCTGACAATGGCTGTACCAAGACAGGAATTCAATATGACAGTTATTTTCTATTTGTTCCGTTGGTCGTTACAGTCTAATGATTGATTTTGTCCGGTTTTATAAACTTCCTGCTTTTGAATTTACCTGGGAGTTCGGTATTTTTATAAAGTCCTTTTTTAACTACCACTACATCATTAAAAGAAAACCGATAGTTGATTTCGATACTTAGTCATATTTTTTCCATTTAACAAATTAATATGTTAAACCGTATGTGTTGTTGCATGTAACACGATCGGCCCATAAAGGACAAAATAATCTCCCTTTTGTTAATAAAATTTAAAGTCAAACAAGATATTGTAACAGTTTGATATAATCCGGATTTTTTTCCGTCAATGTAATGGGTTTTTTATACACGGAATATTTGTGTTTTTAATTTTTTTACATTGATTCTTATTTTTTCGTAGACGCAAGACAAAAGTACTTTTGGTTAATCGAAAATAAATTAAATAAATATACCTGCTGTATAATGTTTTTACTGTAGAATTTAAACTGTTTTTGTATACACTAACGATACATATTTTTTACTTATCACCCTTTTAATTGAGCACGAAACCTGTTTTATTTTTAGTCTCCCTTATATGATATGCCTTTGCAAATTGATAGCATAAAGTTTTTGTATATATTACATCACAAACGAACTTTTTTTAGCAATTGGTAACCAAATAATTAAGATTAATAGGGTAGAGGGTTGAGTTCACCAAAATATTAATTGTAAACCTGTTAAAAACCAATGTGCCTGTTTGAAGTCAGAGCATCGTCAGTGGTTGACGTGTGTGATATCTTATGATTGTAATTATTTGGAGAATTTGTTATTTATGGCAGATCTTTGATAATTTCTGTTTAATTATTTTTAACACTTTGTATAGAACTAGAAGGAACCAAGAAGCATGTCTTTTTTTCAAGCTGTTTGTTGTCAGCTAGATGTTTTGAGGGTTATTTCTGTCGTCACATTAACGCATTAACCCTCATCTCTTTTTATTAAAATATTTTAGTTTTTTAATTTTATTTTAGAAGTTCCTTTAACTCTTTGTTTTTTCTGTTGTGATAACGACGGGGGAACATACTACAGTTAGTCTTTAAATTGCTTAGTATCGACACAATTTAAGTTGTATTTTAAACATACATCTGTCTAGAAACAAAAATAGAGTATAAGTGCATTGCGACTTAATATTTTAACAAACAATGATTGATACCTCAATATAGAATTCCAAAAAAAATATTTGTTGCAAAACATATGTGTTATTATTTAAACAAATATAATTAAGCATAGCTAAGATGAACATTTGGCACATATAGTATATCATTAAAGAAATCATAAAAGATTAGATCAATATAGTTTATGTTCTCTTTCTCTTTACATATTTCATTATGTAATATAAATTTATCAAATTAAGTCATTTTACTTACGACTATTGCATTCCAAATGCCACAAAAAAGAATAATGAATAAATAACTAGCCATGATAGCCGTTCAACTATAGCGTCACACGCTATATAAAATATGCCGTTAGAAATATTCCTTATATTACATTTATACAAACATAAAATATACACATAAGTTTATCCGACTTATACCAGAAACATGGTCATTTACATATAAAATATTTTATGCGTACGAATACCAATTTTAAAGACGGATGGTTTTCAGTGTAATAATAGGATAAATAGACATGTGTTTCACCATGCAACGAATTAAATTGAGTTAATGGAGCAAATATTTTTCAGCACAATTATTAATTTCTGCAAATATATGTCAACATGTTATATTTATATTTTTGGCACTGATTTTTATATTTTTGGCACTGTCAAGTTGAGACTCTAACCTCGCACAGCAGAGACGATTGAATGCGCATTAAAAAAAATAATTTATAACAAAGTTCTCGAATTTACGAGAATGTTCAATGTGAATACAAGGTTGATATCATATCGCCATGATAAACATTATGGCCATATAGAACAAAATGACCGGCAGATGGACGCCTAGTAGCAAGATTTTCTCTGCTGGCATGATATTACTTTGATATTAATTCTTGATAACATTTCAACTGACACAGTTATGTAACATTGAGGTTATGTTCAGTTGGTTGTACTTACTTCTTAAAATCTCATTTCAGTTGATTGCAAGTCAACATTAGAAATTTTTCGCTTCGCATACCACATAATTCCGAATGTAAATTTAATTCGATATTTTGTAATTTGTTTTACTACATCTTGGCTAATACTACTGGTGGTGGACAGCGAGTCTCAAAAGCACTCACTTGCATAGTAGCCATTGTTTGCGTGTTGGCTTGAATTTGCTTTGATATCGATATTTATACACAGCTGTTCTAATGCTGGTTTTAAATTCCCTTTTTTAATGGAAGTTTTATGAGGGGCCTGATGGGTTATTTTCGTTCTTCGTGATCGGCGCATTTTCGCTATCGTGATCCGTTTTTCTACAGATTTTTTTTTTATATTTTCGTGATCCGTGATCATGGAAATTTATTTTCTGTGAATCGTGATTGACAAAAAAATCAAACCTTCTCCCTTTTCTGAAACAATAGTATAACATCACAACATAGAAAAACACACTATAAAATATCTATTGGAAGGCTTAACTCAATCAAAAAACGTAAATTAACACACACAATGAACGAATAAATTTGACCTGTGACACCTGAATGCAAAAACACAGTTAATAAAAAATTACAAGGGATAAATAATTAAAGTCAAAAGTAAATAAACAGGTTTAAACAAAGTTAAAGTATGATATCACTGTGAAATTTTCAAACAATTTATAGAAAATCATCACTTTTGAAGAAACCTGCGTCATATTATACACAGGTAAATGAAAATAATTTTGTTGTTAAGTATACTTCTTCTGTGTGTATAAAATTTTCCGTTTAGAAATAGTTACATGTACATGTAGTTATACGACACACATATCGTAATAACTATGCTCGTTACAGTTTAAATTTCCCTATTTGCTACTAGTATCATTTCTATAACGTGTTATTTACTTTAATTGTTGAACCTGCATTTCTTATTGAAAGGGCCAGCTTTGAATTGGAAGGATGTGGAGAGTATATGTTACCAAAAGGATTCTTAAGGGATCAGCTCGACCTGCTCAAGTCAAAAATTTCTAGGAATGTGTTCTCATTGTAGCTGGTTTTCATATTTGTTAATGCCGGGGATCTCTTTTTAGCGAACTTTACGGTAAGGACATGTTTTCATTGTTGAAAGCCACACGTTGACCATACTTTTAATATTTTCGTCCTTTGGTCTTGGTTTTTGGTTGGAAATTGTCTCATTGGTTATCATACTGCATCTCCATTTTTTTTTATACAATCGGTAGATCATGCGTCCATATATTTCTGATAACAATGTACTTGTTCATGGACTTAAATATACATTAACATGATTAACAAGTATTTGATCGAATTTCTTTGATAAGAAACGTTCAGTGCTAAAAGCGTAGATCAGGCGTTACCCAGGTGTTGATATTTATGAGGTGGCGCTCTTGAGAATTAAGAGCTAGAGGACCATATTTTTTTTACTAGTCCTATGAATTACATTTATATTTGTTTTTTAGGGGCGCGGCAAGTACCAGGTGCGCCCCCGCCTAACTCCTGACTCCGGGCCTGTGGAATTAATTAAATATTAAAATCAAGTCAAAAACAAACTCACAATGCCATGGCAAAAAAATCGAAACGACGAAAAGGCAAACAGTGCACAAAACACAATAAAGAAAACTAAAGACTTAGCAACACGATCCCTACAAAAACTGGGGGTGATATATCAAGTACTCCGGAAAAGTAAGCAGATCGGGATCCACATACCACACCTGTCGTGTTACTCCTATAAATGCGACAACCAAAGGTACGTGTTTATGAATGCACATTTTTTTTTACCAATGCCATAAAATATAAAGCTAATTTGACCCCCAAGAATTGATTACCTTAACTGTTTATGATAAAACCTTTCGGCTTTTGGATCCTAAATATTCTGCAGCTTCGTTCTTTTTTTTTTGACCTTTTTTTCTGATTTGAGCGTCATGATGAGCCTATTGCAGACGAAACGCGCGCCGGATGTTCTAAATTTTAAGTCGTTTGTTATGTGGTTCATAAGTGTTTCTCGTTTCTCGTTTTTATATAGATTAGACCGTTGGTTTTCCTGTTTGAATGGTTTTACACTAGTCATTTTTTTGGGCCCTTTAAGGCTTGGTGTTCGGTGTGAGCCGAGGCTCTGTGTTGAAGGCCGTATTTTGACTTATAATGGTTTACTTTTACAAGTTGTGACTTGGATGGAGAGTTGTCTCATTGCCACTCATACCACATCTTCTTATATCTATACTAGTCACCAAAAGTAACGATACACAAGTTTGAACTCCAATTTATCATAAAATATAATAAATAGGAAAACTGTTAAATTATACAATGAAAAACATTCATTTACAAAGTAAATGCATATGATTAAAAGAATCTGACCAAATTGGAAAGTAAAAATTACCATGTTAAGTTCTAATATCGATTTTTGAATTTTTGGGTGAAAATACGATTTTTGAAATAACAAAAATTGCCAAAAAAAAAATCGCGTATTTGCCTCAAATCAATGGTTTTGATTAGAAAAATCACTCTGTATATATTAGACCAATTGAGCAAATATTTACCTTGGTACAGTGCATCCAATATCATTATATATGGAAAATACATTGCCTTGTATCGTTTCTTTGTTGACTAGTATATATGTGTAATAGAAAAACAAAGGATATTGGGTATCCATCCTTGACACAAAATCAGTACATGCAAAGTAAAAAAAAACCACAAAAAGCAAAGGAACAGTACTTTTATTGCTGTTCTTCATCTCGATGTCACAGTGAGGCCTTCAACACGAAGCAAAAAAAAAAAAAACCAAACAAAAAAAAACTCTCACCTCACAGCAAGTTTAAGACGGCCCCTAGCACCGGCTTGAGCGGAATTCTTGGCAAAAATAATTTGGATAGACTTTGTAAGATGTTACACCACCTAATCGGGCCCGGTCAAAAAAGAACATACTGGAAAGTAGTACATATTTAAAACAAATAGTTCCTACTCATGTACTTGTTTATGTCTGTAATTTTCTTAGTGAGATAATCTCGACTATAACTAGTCTCTAAATTAGTCGCGATGTTTAATACAAATAGATATATCCCATTTCTTGTTGTCTAATGATGAATTAGTAATATCGTACATAATGGTGATTGGTGATAAACACCGTATGAGTTATCATAACACTATGTATAAATGAGGGTCTGGATGGTGTTTACAGAATAGAGAATAACTGACAAAAAGTGCACAATAAAGAGCAATAAAAAAAAAAAAAATAGAGAAAAAGGCCAACAAATTAAGAATACAAAATAATGAAAAGCGTAATTATATACATTGTAGAATAGGGAATAATGAGAAAAATAGATAAAGAATGGAAAATGCAAATGGAATGCAATACACCCCATCCAGACCCTAAAAAATAATTCGGAAAAATCTTGGCAAAATGCGGTCTAAATTTAATACCGGAGTTTTTGCGGTAAGTTCTCTTCCATCCAATCCAATTCTATGTAGAAGTTTCACCCGGCTTCATTTTTACAAGTCATATGTTTTATACAGTATAGAATGTGTTTAATTACGTACCTAGTAATCCATCAAGAAATAGTATTGAGCTAGTTTTAATACTAACAGTATTCACAGAATTGATTTATTTTAAAAAGTTTCTAACCACTAGGCAGTGATCAATCATATTGGAATGTTATTGAATAATGCAATAAAAGGCTTAATTACATTTGTACAGACTTTGAAATTTTCTGAAGGAATTTAGTAATGAGTTTATGAGTAACGCCCGATAGTTACAGATTCAGAAACTAATCATGTACATTGTCTGACACTTCGCAAAGAGCATGTATGATCGAGGAAGGGTTTTATTTGAAGAGTTGATACAATTCATATAAATCTCATTAAGTTATCAACAGGATGACAATATGATTTGAGTGTTTAGTCTCATCGAACGTATTAGATAAGAGGTTACCGTAGTTTATCGATGTTCAAATCTTGTATATCAATATTTAATCACCGTTACGAGTTGGTTAACCGTTATGGAATATCTGTTTCACAGATGACGAGGGAACTGCTCCAATTGTCGTAACCACAATCCCGTTCTCTTTTCCTCGAATGTGATCTACCGAATTAAACTTATCAACGGGTTTGTACTTATATGGGCAACAAGATGGAGAATCATCTGTTTACTCTTCCGCAGAACATGAGATCACCTCCAGTTTTTTGGTGGGGTTCGTGTTGCTCAGTCTTAGTTTTCAATGTTGTGTTTTGTATACTGTTGTTTAACTGGGAATAAGGGCTGGACAATCGGTTTAAAGATTCACGAACCAATTTGATGTATCCATGCATTACATAGCTAAAGTTTTGAAACAATACATGCAAATCGTTAATGAAGACCTGTTGATATTTAATTTTATTTGGATTTTGTTATAAAAAGAGACTGAAGACTGTTGTATTCTATTTCTCTCCTATTTCTTGTGACAGATACAGTCACATATATATTCGGTCTAGAATATAAACCGAACTGGTAAACTTAGAACTATTAGTTTTGTTTGTTTTGAGTGTTCGGCTTCTTTAAGGACTGGCAAAGTTTTTTTATGCGTTCGATGATAAAATTGTATTTATCGGACTGCATTAATGTATGTCTCTTCGTAACACGACACATACATGACTTAAAAACGGTATTCCTGTTCTTTGTTTTCGTAAACTTTAATTCGTTTCTTTAACATGTTTAAAAGATGTTTAGTGAATCTGATATCAAGATGCATTATTTTACCAAGATACGAAGAGTAGGTATTCCGTCAGGTGCAACAAAAAGACGTCGAAAAGAAAATACAAGAATTTGATGATGATTTGAGAGAGAGGGGGAATATACTTCGAACATGAACTTTAGTGTGCCGTCAGATTTGACGTCGATTTGAAACCGAACGTCGATCTGAATCAGCCGTCATATTTGACCTCGATTTGAGACCAGACGTCAATCTGAGTCAAACACATGTATTTAAGTTTCATAATTAGTCTAACAGATCATCATCGACTATATACCTTTCATTGTTATATCTCGAAATCAGCTATATGTTTGGAGGTCTTTGTTCCGAACCTATATAAAGTGGACCAAACTGAGGGATACTGATGAATTTCAATGAGGGTGATATACCATAGAACTTTGATGGTATCGTGAAAAGCTGTACATTTTGAAAAGCACTATCGTTATGTATTCAAAAATACTTACTTATATATTAAAACGAGAAAGAAGATACAAGGGGAGAAATCAAAAACCATAAGTCGAAAAAAACAAAATATTATGGCTAAAAAATTATAAAATCAAGTCCACAAAAAAGAAAACATAAATATAAAATTGGGCAACAAATATCTTACTGAATCCGGGGATGAACCCTGGTGTTCAGGGAAGGATAGAAAGGTCTAGGACCGCAATAGGCACCTGATGTGTGAAGCATTACAAGTAAACAAAATGTTGATAAGTCACATTCGGTGATGTCATAATAGAGGTAAAAGAGACAAAGATTGTTGGTACGACAAGATGAAAATATCCTTGGTAAGTAACTATATTGAGAAACGAGCCTAAACAAACATGCCTGTTCTAGAATTTTTTTCAAATACAATTCATGGCCGCCAATAGTTTGCCTTGTACGTTGTACTTATAAAAAGAAATATGAAGTAAATGTAAATAAAAACTACATATACTAAATCTGCGAATACGTGTCGCTCGTGAGTTTAAACAGCGACACATCATAGTGGTCCAACCAATTCCTGATGGTGACCATACATCTTATCGATTTCAATCGTTCTTCCTCATAATGCTGTTAGAACAGTTTTTGTGTAAGGTACACCTCTCTTTTAACGGTGTCAACAATGATGAACATGCACGAAAAATAAAACTATATTCCTATTTAGACTTTAAGGCAACATTGGTTTTAATTTCAAGCGGTACGAGTGCAAGTAAAATACATATCTTGCATACATTTATATGATTTAACATGTATGACTTCTATGAATATTCTAATCATCATTGATGATTAAAGGTCAACACGATATGCGTCCCTGGGTTTTGATTGGGTTATGTATTTTAGTTAATAACTGCTCTTTCGTCTTTTTTTTTATCTTCTTTCGTCGTTGCATCCTCTGTACTTCCTCGACTTATTGTGGTGCTTTGGTTGCCGATTGATCTAAGTAGTTTATCTACAGCGATCACTAGCCTGTCAATAATGAGGTTGTGAGTATCAAATCCTGCTCGTGGCAAGGGCCAGGGCTTTGTCTTTTATGTTTGAATAGACCTTTGGTATCTTTCACCTTTTTTCTAGAAATTATGTAATCATTGAGAAGCCTAAAAATGTTTAGCTCTGATTAAACTATATCATTGTGATTTGAAACCTCAGTAACTAAATGCTTCTGTAACGATTGAAGATTTCATATTAAAATGTGTTTTGATAGCAGTTTGTGATAACTTGAAAAAATTGTAAATATCCATTCATGTTAAAACATTTTATTAGTATGATTACTTGTATGTAATGTATTCCGTTAGAATTGCAAAAACAATATCATTTAAACATAACAATTAAACAAAAAAATATATATAGTTTACAATTAGAAGTTGTACCTTACTTTTAAGATAGACAACAAAACTTAACCTAAACATAACAATAAGGCAAAACGATATGTAAAGTTCAACAAAACAAATAGTTTATAATTTAAAGTTGTATTTTACTTTCAGTGAAAGATAGACCCAAAACCTAGTTTGTAGAACAATAATATCGCTACTGTTTGCATACTATAACTAATGATTACAGTAGCATGTTTTGCATCCATGGGAGTCAATTTTATAACCATTTGGACAATGAGTTGTACAATATTGCTTTTTGCAATTCCAACTGATACAATCACATGTTGCACACCCATATGAATCTTTCTTATAACCGTTGTTACAACGATTGGTGCAATATACTTTTTTACAAATATATGGTTTACATTTACATGTCTGACATTTATTACTGTCCATCTCATACCCATGAAGACATGGTATTGGACACTCTGGTTTAACACAAATATATGGTTTACATTTACATGTCTGACAGCCATGATTGTCCATCCAATACCCATATTGACACGCTTTAAGACAGTATGGTTTTTTACAGACATATGGTTTACATTTACATGTCTGGCACCCATTGCTGTCCGTCTCATACCCATGTGGACATGGTGTGGGACAATATGGTTTTTTAGGACAAACATAAGGTTTACAGGTACATGTCTGGCATCCGTTACTGTCGATCACATACCCGTGAGGACATGGTTTAGGACAATATGGTTTTTTCGGACAGATATAAGGTTTACATGTACATGTCTGACATCCGTTACTGTCGATCACATACCCATGAGGACAGGGTTTAGGACAATATGGTTTTTTAGGACAAACATAAATCTTACAGGTACATGTCTGACATCCGTTACTATCGATCTCATACCCATGAGGACAAGGTTTAGGACAATATGGTTTTTTCGGACAGACATATGGTTTACATTTACATGTCTGACATCCGTTACTATCGATCACATACCCATGAGGACATGGTTTAGGACAATATGGTTTTTTCGGACATGGTTTACATGTGCATGTCTGACATCCGTTACTATCGATCACATATCCATGAGGACATGGTTTAGGACAATATGGTTTTTTCGGACATGGTTTACAAGTACATGTCTGACACCCGCTACTATCGATCACATATCCATGAGGACATGGTTTAGGACAATATGGTTTTTTCGGACATGGTTTACAAGTACATGTCTGACACCCGTTACTATCGAACACATACCCATGTGGACATGGTTTGGGACAATATGGTTTTTTCGGACACGGTTTACATGTGCATGTCTGACACCCGTTACTATCGATCACATACCCATGTGGACATGGTTTGGGACAATATGGTTTTTTCGGACATGGTTTACATGTGCATGTCTGACATCCGTTACTATCGATCACATACCCATGTGGACATGGTTTGGGACAATAGGGTTTTTTAGGACACGGTTTACATGTGCATGTCTGACATCCGTTACTATCGATCACATACCCATTAGGACATGGTTTAGGACAATATGGTTTTTTCGGACATGGTTTACATGTGCATGTCTGACATCCGTTACTATCGATCACATATCCATGAGGACACGGTTTAAAACAATATGGTGTTTTCGGACATGGTTTACATGTGCATGTCTGACATCCGTTACTATCGATCACATACCCATGTGGACATGGTTTAGGACAATATGGTTTTTTTGGACATTTATATGGTTTACATGTACATGTCTGACATCCATGACTGTCCTTCTCATACCCATGTGGACATGGTTTAGTACAATGTATTAACGGACAAACCCATGGTTTACATGTACATGTAGGACATCCCTTACTATCCTTCTCAACCCCATGTGGACACGGTTTAGGACAAGGTAGTGCTTGACAAACCCATGGCTTACATTTACATGTCTGACATCCATGACTGTCCTTCTCATATCCATGTTTGCAATGGCGGTGACAGTACTGTTTCTTACAAACCCAGGTGTTACAGTCGCACGTCTCGCACCCATTAGAATCTTTCTTGTATCCATTTAAGCATTTATTTTTACAGTATGTTTTCTTACAATCGTATTTGATTGGTTTACATTTACATAGCTGACATCCATGAGAGTTGGTGTCGTATCCATTTGAGCATCGTAAGTGGCATTTGAATGTTGGACATGGTTTATCTGAAACGATTTAATACAAGAGTATAGATATACCATTGAAGGATGTAGATCTATGTTAAGGGACATACCTCTTTAAAATCACTTGAACGTTTGTGTCAACCATTTTCATAAATATATTCTAAGCTTGTAGGATACATAGATTATTTTCCTTCTGTTTCAATTTAATGCATAGAATATATTGACAAAACTGACTATTACAAACGCATTTCTGATTGAAAGAGTAAGGTGGTATACCTTGTTTAAGGGAGATAACTCTTTAAATCAGTTATGTGATTTCAGAATTATCAAGCTCAACAATGATATTAAAAGAGGTCTAGTGAAACAGATTTGAAAATATCTATGTAACTAAGGAGGTGAGAATATATCTATGATCATGGTTGACATAATACCTTCCGGAAAACCTCGATTTTTGGTGGGGTTTGTGTTGATCAGTCTTTTGTTTTTATGTTGTGTTTTGTGTACTGTTGATTGTCTTTCCGTCGTCTTTTGTTTTTTGCTATGGCATTGTCAATTTGTTTTCGACTTATGAGTTTGAATATCACTTTGATATCTTCTGCCTCTCTTTTGATATAAATGAGTTGCTTTTGTACACAGTTGTGTTGCATGTAATCCATACAAACACAAACTCAATGGCAATAATACTGTTAACATTTGGTGCGTGCGATTTACCTTATCAGAGACGCTCAAATAAAATAAAACATTGAAATCTAAAGATGTGTAACTACTTGGGTAGCTATAAAGCCACAGAGACGAAAAAAGAATGAACAAATTCGTCCAAGTTTAACTTTGTCTGGAAGAGGTAGAACGTTAATCTCTAAATAATTTTTAATTTGATCAAAGAAATATTTCAGAAAGGTACCAAAGCATTGACTATTGAGCTGATGCAATTTTTTTAACATATGGTCCGCGTGAACGTAAACTCACCACAACAACTATAAATATTTATATAAATAAGAAGATGCGGTATGAGTGCCAATGAGACAACTCTCTATCCAAGTCACAATGTGTAAAAAGTAAACAATTATAGGTCAAAGTACGGCCTTCAACACGGAACCTTGGCTCACACCAAATAGCAAGCTATAAAGGACCCCAAAACGACAAGTGTAAAACAATTCAAACAGGAAAACCAACGGTCTTCTGTATAAAAAAACGAGATACGAGAAACACTTATGAACCACATCAACAAACGACAACCACCGAACAACAGGTTCGTGTTTTTAAAAAAAAAAAAGGTTTCATCCACTAGAACCTCACGCAAAGCTGATATTAGTTAGATTTGGCTATTATTAAGGTCCTCGTTGGTCATATAGCTCTTCAACTCTTTCAGTTCTAATACATCATTGGCTTTTAAATATTCGGCATTAAGCATTCCTAATGAAGGTTAAGCCAAAAAACGCGCTTCGGATGCAAGCAATTTATAAAGTGTTCTCATTTCACAATGATAACTTGAAGTGCGCGCGCGCTTGTCAGATTTTTTGTTTAATAAAGGGCGAACCGCACAAACACAAGTGATGATCTATTTCAACATTGTAAAATCGTTTCTAAGAAGAAATTGTATTGCATGGTTATTTGAAAGTACAAATACCCATGCCTGTGTAAGCAGTATGATCGCCTGTCAGTTTCAAACATTCTAACATTCTAAACGAATTAAACATTACAGCTTTGTCTTTTTGTACGTCTTATTTATCTGACGATTTATGTGTTTGTGGTTCCTGGTGTGTTTGTGGTGTGTTAGACAGTCCAATAAGTTTGGTTATTTCTATTTCTCAGATACATTCAACTAAATACTTCCTTTAAAAGACAGAGAAAATCCCAAAGAGACAATCAAAATGGCGACGAAAAACAAAAAAGTCATAGACGAAATGACAAACAAGTCCACCAAACATTTTTTAGAAACCTAGCAACCGAGCAGCACGAATACAATAAAAAAAAACGGAAATAAGTCAGGTGCTCGTGACGGGTATTCTTTGTGGATTTACAACCAATAGGATATTTTCAGTTTAACATTTGAAATGCATTTCTAATCATAACGGAAACCTTATATTTCGGCATTTTAAGATACAAAGGATTATGGATAATGTACCAATCAAAAAGTTAAGTATGTGATTTTGGCAGTGGTACCAAAAAAGGATTTCAGGTAGATCGGGTGTTTTTTTCTGAGCATTGCTTCCTGGCATGTTGCAAATTTACTTTTTTAGTTAAAAATATTTTACTTAGTATCGTTCAATATGTAACAGAAACATCTAACCCGTGAAATTCAAAGATTAAACTATAAAAAAAATTAAGTGTCGTTAAGTGTATTCCAAACTTTTAGAAAAAATCCGTAAAAATTAAGGTCAGATAATATTCATTTTAAAGGAAAATTTGTGTTTTTTTTTAAATTTTTTAAGAAAATAAGGACCGTGACCCCCCTATTTTAATTTGATATTTCGGAGGTGTTTATGAAAAGCAATTCTCTCATTGAATCCTTAACAATTCTATCGTTTAATGATTCCTCATTAGGAAAATTTAGTTTCCCTATATAACCCATATAAAATAATTGCGATTTCATTATTTCAATGTATTTTAACAAAAAACGAGGGCCGTGACCTAAAAATTTTATTTTGAAATTTGAAAATATCTTGACCCAGAAGTCTTTTACGAAAGTTTAAGAAAAATCTATCGTCGAACATTTAGAGTTCCCATTCACCTTAATTCGTGGTAACATTAACGGTTTAATTTTTCTGCATCAGCTGCGCATATCGACAATAAATATCTCTTCAGTGATGATCATGGCCAAAATATTTAAAAAACCAAAACTTACGAAAAAATAAAGAGCTTATAGACCAAAAAGGACAAAACGTATAGCCATAGATGTCAAGAAGTCAGAGCTTTAAGGCAGGAAGTTTTGTCTTGAATTTAGAATAATTTCCAAAAATGTAACGGTAAATTTTTTATAACACAATATCCGTATTTTCATGCCGGTACCGAAGTACGAGCGGTAAATACTTACAGTGTGTTCTGCAATATCTTTTGCAGTCATGTTTACTTGGAAAGTTGTTGCTGTTACCACCACATCCTGAATACGAGAAACGGACACACTGTCTTCTGTGCTTATCGTAGCCCCAACGTCGGATATGTTTATGACATGTACCTTTGGTTATTGGTGCGTAGCAATCGTACACTACAATACAAAATTTCAAAAAGTAAGCATACATGTAATGTTATGTTATTTCAGGTTAGGGTGAAGGTTGGCGCCTTATAAACCGTTTAAACCCGCTGCATTTTTATGCTCCTGTCCTAAGTCAGCAGCCTTTTGTTCAATGGTTGTCGTTAGTTGGTGTGGTTCATAAGTGTTTCTCGTTTCTTGTTTTTTATATAGATTAGACTGTTGGTTTTCCTGTTTGAATTGTTTTACAATAGTCTTTTTGGGGCTTTATAGCTTAAAGTTCGTTGTGAGCCAAGGCTCCGTGTTGAAGGCCGTACTTTGACCTATAATTTTTTACTTTTTACACATTGTGACATTGGCACTCATACCACATCTTCTCATTTATATAATCAAGTGATTATGCAAATGTATCACGTGACAATAATATTGATCATGCTATCGTTCAGTCATCGTATGCATATAAAATCAGAAAAAAAAGTATAATAAAAATATAGTTCTACTTTAAGGAAACACATTAATAAATGAATATTTTGAAAAGTATTTTATGAGGATCTTGATGGGTTTTACAGAATAGAAAATAATAGGCCAAAACTACAAAAAAAAGTGTCATTAAAAAGAAGAACAAAAAAAAAAAAAATAGGCCAAAAATATAGATTAGAGAATAAAGGGTAAAATGTATAGAATAATGAATACTGAGCAAAATTTATACAGAATATAGAAAAATGGCTGACAAATCCAGAGCCTGTGATTTAGTAGTTGTCGTTTGTCGCAGTACTAGTATATCATATTACTTTGTCATTTTTTATCAAAAAATTTGCCTTGAATAGCTTACTACGCGGTTTGTGTTTTGCTCATTGTTGAGTCCTTGACATATAGTTAGTTGCTAGCTTCTACGTTGTTTGGTCTTTGGCAATCATACCACATCGTTTAATTTAAATGAGAGTCTGGATTGGGTTTACAGAATTGAGAATAACGGACAAAAACTGCAGAATACAAGGCAAAAAAAAAACACAACAAAATAGAGCGAAATAGGCAAATAAGTGAAGAATAGAGAATAATGGGGTGCTAAAATATAAAGAAAATTAAACACAGGGTAAAATAGATAAATAATAGAGAAAAGTAGTCTAAAAAATTAAAGAGTAATGAAATGAGAGACCCCATCCAGACCATCTTAATATATATTATGAGCAACCAATCATTTTGTTTGCTTACCTTTGCTGCAAGCTTTTCTACATTTGTTTATTGTCAGGAAATTATTGGCATTTCCTTTACAGCCACCATAGGTAAATCTACGACACTTCATCCTTCTATGGTCGTAATAATATCTCGGATATGTGGCTTTGCATGGTCCAGGGTCTTTATGAAGATTACATATATCTGAAGCAAACAAAGATTTAATATACTTATCAATACCATAGTTTTTATCATTCACCCTTTAAGTATTGTTCACATTGAATTATTTATTCTAAATTATGGAGATATTTTAAGGACAGATTACTCTAATTTTTTTTTGGCGCACAATAAAATTGTAAATATATTCACATTAACCATGAGCTCGTCCAAGTATACATGAGCCTGTTGTTCAGTGGTTGACGTTTGTTCATGTGGTTCATAAGTGTTTCTCGTTTTTTATATAGATTAGACCGTCGGTTTTCTTGTTTGAATGTTTTTTCGCTAGTCATTTTTGGGACCCTTTATAGCTTGCTGTATGGTGTGAGCCAAAGCTCCGTGTTGAAGGCCGTACTTTGACCTATAATGGTTTACTTTTACACATTGTGACTTGAGTGGAGAGTGGTCTATATGGCACTCATACCACATCTTCTTATATCTATGTAATATTTTGTCAATGTACGTTAACAAAGTTGTATTTGAAATGAATTATTTGATCTGATTTATTTATCGAAGAATGATATTTGAAAAGTTTGTTTTTAAACTTTCAAAAAAATTGACAAGGAAGAAGATTTTTAGAACAAAAGGAAAAGTAGGGGCATAACCGGTCACTAATAGATTTGTTTTAACAGAATAACATTTGTCTGAAAATGACAACACAATATAATGAGGTGAAAAATCCAATATGTTACGTTCAGACAGGTTTAAAGAAATTCTTAACCGCAGAATTTGTCATAGGGATCGATTTGTCTTTTAATTGAATAAATAATTTTAAAAGCTCAAATTATCTATACTTAAAATACAAATATTGTAACATATTGTTACTCTTATATAATATATACATTTATAAGAGGTAATATATGATAAGTTGCTAGATTTTTGGATTTTTTTTTTTTTTGCATTTATATTTATAATTATCACAAATGTTATTGTTTACTTTTTTCGTACGTCAAAGGCTTTTCGAAAAATTTGTTTTTACGTTAGTTGCAGAATAATGAATATATTTCTTCTATAAATTTTGTTAGTCAATATAGACTAGTTTAAACACTTAGAAAAATCTGGAGTCAGTGATTTATTTTGTAACACTATAAAGAATATGAACAATAATACAGAACTTTGTGTAAAGGGAAACAAAGATTCGATGACAGAAAACTTAACCTTTTACATAGGGGTTCGACAGGGGATAATTTTAGCCCGCTGTATTTACTTTGTTTATTAATGATCTGCTTGACTGTTTTCATGAGTTAGGTAAACTTGCTATTTTAAATTCTTTACAGCTGAATTGCTTATTGTATGCAGATGACTTAGAATTAATGTCAGAAACATCTGATGGTTTACATATGTGCACTGATAAATTAATAATTACTGTGAGATATGGGGGCTCCAAATAGATATAAAAAAAATATAATCAGTATTTAACAATGCAGAAAAGCTGCATGATAATACATTATTGTTAATAATGTGTATACTGAAAGGGCTATGGACTATTAATATTTCGAAATATAATTAAGTGCAAGTGGAAGCTTTTCAGAGTTTTCAGAAGATTTATGGAAGGGGGGATTGAAAGCCTTTTTTATTTTTTTCAATATGCAGATAACAAATAGAAAGAAGCATATATATACAGGTCTTAAAGTGGAGAATACAATTTGCAAGTTATACGTCATTAAAGTCGAAGATGATCTTCATTTTCTTCTTGAGTTCACTGGTTTGGAAAATAAAAGATCAAGTTATGTAAATGAAATTAAAAGTGATAATAGTTTTTAGATTTTTGTTGTTGTTTGATAGTAAAAATAATCAATGTAAGTAATAATAATGTCATCGATTGTATGTGATTGAACGTGATTGTTGACCTAATTACTGGGCATCATAATAGAGGGGCCTGATGGGGGGTCTCATCACGATTCACGAGTTGATTTTGTTGTCAATCACGATTCACAGAAAATAAATTTCCATGATCACGGATCACGAAAATATAAAAAAAAAAAAAATCTATAGAAAAACGGATCACGATAGCGAAAATGCGCCGATCACGAAGAACGAAAATAACCCATCAGTCCCATCATAATAAACCATGATATATTTGTAGTGTATTTTATTGTGCCTTTCTCGTTAGAAAACTTTTATACAAGAATAACGTGGACCAAACACGACAAGTTGTTTTGAACTAACTCAGTACTTTTGACCAGTTGATTTTTTTCCGATACAAAGCAGAAAAAAAACATCTTACAAAAACACAGACCGGACGTGGAACGGTATTTATACATCCCTAACAACAAAAGACACAAAGCACATATCTGATAGTACTCGCAGTTACTGACAGCTAGTTCAAAGTCAATAACAATTAATAAAAGAAATCATGTATCTAAGACTCAGTATTTTTTTATCAGTTGAATTTTATTTTCAAAGCATTTATATTTACTGAGATAGAGACATTATCATACTCACCCCCATGAGGTGGTGGTGGTGGTGGTGGAGGTGGAGGTGGTGGTGGTGTTGGTGGTGGCGGTGGTGGAGCACCGATATTAATACACATCTTGCCACATCCTGTTGATGAAGCAAATGGACAGCAAACTTGACCTGGAAAAGACGTGAACTTTAAATTGGTAATTTGTAGTTGACAAACATTATTAAACAAAACTTAATTGATTTGCATATCTATAAATAATTGAATGTGATTAGTCTTTTCGGATAGTGTTCGTTAGTTTACACTTCGATAAACTATGTTTCTGAAACTATTCGTAGCCTATGTGTAAATACTGTACGTGTTCATTTCACTGTGATATATTCATACGCGATACAAATTAATGAAATCCTAGGGGTTTGAAGAAAGGTGAAATTGATAGACAAATAGCCAATATTTTAGTTGGAAACTATTAGAATATAAAAAAAATTCTAAGGTTCTTGATGTGTAAACTGGGCAACAGACTCACAAAATGTACATACAAGTCTGTCAGACTTTCATTTATTTTGTGAGTTAATCGGTCCAAGTTTACACATCAATAACCTCTAGAAAAAATGTTTGAAAACCTAAATTGAAATTTCTGTTGATGGTCACGCGAAGTTTACTTTGAGATATAAATATCATAGATGAGGAATTTCAGACACCCAAAGAAGAAAATTACAAACTCTGATTCAGAAGGCTCCTGTTTGATTGGTCGATTGTCTGAGCTGTCCTCGGGTGAAGTTATTGGATGTTAAATGAAGGTGGGATTTCATAATTCTCAAAATTAAACAATTTTACCATATTCTAAAATGGCTTTACTTGTTCATTATCATTGATATATCAACCAGTCCCTCTTTTCCACTCTTGGTTTTTTCTAATTTGTTGCATGGCAGTTTAATTTTGATGCAAACACAAGCAACGGATCTAGCCTGCACTCATGACTCATCTATTCATTAATTACATAGTTCAACTTTCCATATTTCATATTTAGTTCCGAAGATTTAAAATTAAAATGCTCATTTACTCCAATATCATATCAGGCAAATATATTTTGTTTTTATTGAATAAGAATTTTTTACACTCAGTTCGATTAGCTAAGTGTGCAGGAAAAATATACTGCAAACCCACAAATAATGCTATCAAAATATACCATTTTCCTATGCTCTGTTATGTTGCTTTATCCGTGTTTTCTATGCTCACCAAAGTGTGAACACGCTTTGCATAAGCTACTTACGGTTGTTGTTTAACGTAATTTGATATTCTGGCAATTGATCGAAACTCGATGAGTTAGTTCAATGACCGAGCTTAAAATCAACATAATCGTCGAGTTCAATGACCGGGCTTGAAATCAACATAATCGTCGAGTAAACCTTTCTTATAATGATTTATTCATATATTACTTTTATAATTTTTATGATCGGTTTTTACCAACACATTCAATACTTATAGACACAAATAAAACGGGTAAATTTTAATAAGAAAAACATCAAATGGGTTGAAAAAATATTAGAAGGCGAATAAATAAATTCAAAGTAGTTTATACTAAGTACATGTGAATTTTGAGTAAATGTTTAATACAATTCATTTGAAACTGTAATTCAAGGATGCTCGCTACTCGGTTTCAAAATAATAAACTTTTTAAAACACTATTATGAATTGATAGTATATAAATAAAGGAACTTGAAAAGCTAAAAAAAAACCATAAGGGTGCGTGTTCTTGTTTCTAAGATATAAGTCATTGAAAATTTGGCGGGAAATGATTCTCTCTAGACTTTTCATACATTTAACATTGGCGCCTTTTTTCTTTCAAAAACTATGAAAAAATAGCAAGTTTTATACGATTTTCAAATATGGCTTTTAACCTATATGTAATAAAAATATGAAAAGAAAATTAGGGGTTTGCGGGCAAAATGTTTTAATGGCACTTCATGGATAAAACCAGAGGATTTCGAACATCTGGCAAAAATTCAAAACAAGAGTAGCGAACATCCTTAAGGAAAACAAACGATGATCATTTGTAGAATGTATGAACATGTATGTGCAGTTCGCTTACCTTTCGGACAATTATTCAAATGGCCACATTTATTCGTAAATAAAGCTGAACATTTGTAAGTTTGTATCTCAGGACATCGGGGGACTTTATATGGGGTTGTTGCCTGAAAGAAAGAAAATAAAAGGCTTTACGTTTTAAACAGATATACATTGCATCAATATCATAAACTTGTTATCAATTCAAATCTTTATCAAATCGGCAAAACAACATCGAATTAGCCCATCTCCCCCGTGGGTACCCCATGGTTTAACATTTGATCCCAGTTTCTCCGAAAGGTGGGGAACAACTTTCCAACAAGCGTATGATTGACTGTTCAGGATGTGTAAATACGCAGCCACGTCAGGTCGGTTAAATCGATGGAGAGTGTATGGAGAGTGTAACGCTTTCTGCATGTTAAAGAACCATTTCAACAAATCTTTAAGGGTTGCGTCAGAGACATATATATGTCTCAGGTTGCGTATATTGCCTACCGCATACCGAAATTGCTGCCCCTGTTTAACAAGCCCTCAATTTAAAGTTGCGCTCAAATTTTCCCGCCTCTGATCTTGATCGACACACATTAAAGACTCACTATTTAATATAATATGTTCTTGCCTTGAATATAAATGTAATATTTGTCACTAGACGCTAGGCAAACACTAGTCATTCAATCAAATACGTGGCATATGGATACGCATGCACACAGGGTCTTCAGATTTTCTTTATATACAGAATTAGTAGAAGAAATATTCTCCAAAAAAAAGTTATTGGTACCAATATAAAATTTCTTGATAACGAATTTACTTGAAAATCTTTCGAATTTCAAAACAATGAACTACTTTCACTTCGTTCCTTTACTCTTGTACATTGTACCCGTGGTATTGAAATCATAATTTAAAAAAAATAGAAAATGTGGAAGAATTGCCAATGAGACAACTCTTCACCAGAACCAATTATCATAGAAATTAACAATTAAAGGTCAAAGTACGACCTTCAACAGTGAGAAAAATTAAACCCATACAGCTTAGTAAGTTATTAAAGTCCCTGAATTAACAAGTGTAATGTATTTGCTTACCACAATTGATTTCCAAACGCCAAATACGAAAAATATAAATAAATATCTAGCCATATCTGGTCAGGTCTAGTGCATCATATCCTCTGAATTAATGAGGGAGAAAATATAATATATATATAATATTATATCAATTCTAATAAAATATTTCAATCTACGAGAAGGTTAATCCTACTTATGGCTATTGTAACAGATATTTACATAATTATTGCATACTTATTCATTAAATCGCCATACTATAAAGGTATTTATTTCTTATATGATTTTGTAAAAAGGATATTTTTCGCTCGAAACACAAGAACAATATATTTTCTGTTGGTTAATTTGGTGTATGTGAAATTAGCGGCTTGTTCGCTATTCGACATTCAATATCCAATCGACTGCTACAGTCGGTTCGATAATCATATTGTCTCACTTAAATTGATAAACAAGTTGATTTTCGATAAAATAAAAAATGACAATCACATTTAAAAGGAGTTAAAAGAGATAAACCTTTGAGCAAATCACAATTTTCGTTTTTAAAATTTCTAGATTTTTTCAACAAAACGCAATGGTAAATGAACTTTTAAAACATGTTATTTCCAATATGCAAAACCGAACGGATACTCTAGTGACATGTGAAAATACAAATAGATATATCCTATGAAAATCCCCCCCCACACAAAAAGGATATTTTTGAAACTTTGTCTTTTCGATATCTACGGAGGACTTAAAGTACCAGTTTGATATTCAAAATATATTGCAAAAGTCTTATAATGAAGTATCCTTTTGATAGTATTAATATATATGGCTAGCCTAAACTGCAACCTAAATTGTATAGAAATTGAAAGATCAGGAAGGTATCGTAGTCATCTAAGCGGTCCCCGGTAATCTGTTGCAATATATCTGACGCATCCGGTCTTTTCTGTTGAATCTCGTTCATTCATGATAGTCAGAGAGATGTTGAAAATCTCGAACCCCATATGAAATTTACTGACCCCATATATCTACTATATATATATTAGGTCACTAGCACACTATGTAACGAATTTATCTTACCGACTATCTTAACATGTGGCATTTAGACTAGTAGTCTATCAAAGTGATCAAGAACCTACTTCCATTGGTCTATACAAAAACAAATGCCAACAATAACAACTTATTAGCTTTTAATGTGTTTTCTGCATTTATTTTAATCGTTCATCATCAATTTCTTCCTCTGTTGAAAACTTTCAGATTTTTCCCCAACGCCGTGTTGTTTTTACAAAGGGACGTAACACCACTCTAACCGTGTATTGAAATATATATGAACTATACACGGTCTCCACACGGTTGCTTTTAACCAATATATATTCCTAGAAATGCAAAAGAGGTGAGATAATGAGCAATATCGTAATTTTGAGTTAAATGTTTGAACAAAAATAATATTAAACAAATTGAGGAAGATGTATTTAATAAGAGTACAAGAGTTGCTGCTTATGCAGATGGAAGTAAATTGAGGACTAACACATTGTTTACAAAAAATTATTGTACTGAAATTTATTTGAAAAATATTCTGTCAATCAAACACATAAGTGCTTTTGCACGATTTAGATGTGGGGTAGCTCCCCTAAAAATCGAAACTAAAAGTTATGAAAGAAAGGAAGTTCACGAGAGGACATGTTTTAACTGCAGCTTTATTATTGAAGATGAACTGCATGTCATTTTAAAATGCCCATTATATGTAGATTTAAGACAAATCATGATACACGAAGCTATACGTTTAAATGAAAGTTTTAACCTACTACCAGATAGTGAAAAAGGTATATTTCTATTTAATAATGAGAATGTTGATAATGTAGTTGCCAAAACCTGCAACAAGATTTTATGGAGAATAAACAGTATTTTATTTCATTAATTTTAAAAGAAACTAAAATGTTTTACATTCATGTAGTATAAATGGACATTGTAAATTTCAAATGTAAATGTGTAAAAGTGTATATATGTGTATATTGTGTCTTAAAAGTC